TGGGAGTTGAAGTCCACCAGGCTTAAAGTTGGCTGGGGAATTCTGGGAGTTGAAGTCCACCAGGCTTAAAGTTGGCTGGGGAATTCTGGGAGTTGAAGTCCACCAGGCTTAAAGTTGGCTGGGGAATTCTGGGAGCTGAAGTCCGCCAGGCTTAAAGTTGCCAAGGTTGGAGTCCCCTGGACTAGGAAATAGATAAACCAGCCATTTCCCTTCACATTCCAACCCTGTCTGTCTCCAACCATGATTAGTTTGGGATCTGGGGACAGGCCTGAGCATTTTTTTGTGGGGCGGGGAGCTAACTTCTTGCTAACTTCCTGCTGTAGCCATCCGTCACCCGGAAGAGCTGTCCTTGCTACGGGCGCCCGAAGAGAAGGATAAACGGAAGCAGAAGGAGAAAGAGGAGACCACGGCTCAGAGTTATGACCTCACCAGCGTCCGGCTGCCAGCAAGTGAGGGCCTCACAACTTTGTGTGCGCACATATAGAGGCAGTCCTCGGCTTTACAGCAGTTCATTTAGTGACCGTTCCAAGTTGCAACGGTGACCTATGACCGTGTTTCACACTTACGACCGTTGCAGCATCCCCATGGGCAAGAGATTAGAAATCAGCCACTGAACTCCTATTTATGACGGTTGCAGCGTCCTGGAGGTCACGCAATCCCCTTTTTACGACCTTTTGGGTCAATGGGGGATGCCAGATTCACTTAACAACCATCTGACTAATTGAAGAACTGCAGTGATTCCCTTAACCAGTGAGCAAAGAAAGTGGAGCAAAACTCTCTTAACGAATTCCTCGCTTAACAACATAAACGTTGGGCTCAATTGTTGTCGTACACTGGACTCACTTAACACCCGCAGTGCATCGGAAGCATCCGAATTTGGATCATGTGACTACGGTCGTAAGTGCGGAACAGAGTCATAAGTCACTTTTTTCAGTACGGTTGTAACTTTGAACGGTCCCTAAGTGAACTGTTGCAAGTCAGAGGCTACCTGTATTTGCCCGAGCCAAGGAATATCTAGGGCTGGACGCTGAGCGCTGACCTTTCCCCTCTCCCCTTGTGACCTCAGGCGCAGAGCAGCAGACTTTCCGCGGGATGCCTGCACACTTTTCGGACAGCGCCGAAACCGAAGGTTGCTATCGGATGCTGTCAGTCAGCCAGACTAGCGTGACCCCCGAGCAGATTGTCCGAATGCACCGGCCGGGATCCCTGGTGGAAAAGACCAGGATCAACAGCAGGTAAGAATAGAATAGAATAGAGTAGAATAGAATAAAATAGAATAGAATAGAACAGAATTTTTGAATAGAATTCTGGAATAGAATAGAATTTTGGGATAGGATAGGATAAAGAATAGAATAGAATAGAATTTTGGAATAGAATTTTGGGATAGG